AAGAGCTAATAACCTATCCTTCTCAAACTATTCTAAAAAACAGAAATGGAAGGAAAACTTCTAAATTCATTATATGAGGCCACCAGCATTACCCTGATACCAAAACCAGATAAAAACACCACACAAAAAAGAGAACTACTGGCCAATATCTCTGATGAGCATAGATACAAATATCATTCACCACAATCAAGTGGGATTTATTCTTGGGCTGCAAGGAATGTTCAATATTTGCAAATTAATCAACATGATACACATTATCAATAAGAGAAAGGATAAGAACCATATGATCATTTCAATGGATGCAGAAAAAGCATTGGACAAAGTACAACATTCATTCCTGATAAAAACTCTCAAAAAGTAGGTTTAGAGGGAACATACAAAAGGCCATACATGACAAAACCACAGCTAACATCATCCTCAATGGGCAAAAACTGAGGACCTTTCTCCCAAAGTCAGAAAAACGACAAGGATGCCCACTCTCACCAATTCTATTCAACATATTACTCAAAGTCTTAGCCACAGCAATCAGACAACAAAAATAAATAAAAGGCATCCAGATCAGCAAGAAGTAAAACTCTCACTATTTGCATATGACATGATATCATATATAGAAAACCCAAAAGACTCCTAGAACTGACACAACAATTCAGTAAAGTTGCAGGATACAAAATCAATCTACAGAAATCTGTTACATTTCTACACACCAATAATGAAGCAGCAGAAGGAGAAATCAAGGAATCGATCCCATATACAATTGCACCAAAAACCGTTAAGATACCTAGGAATAAACCTAACAAAACAGCTGAAAGACCTGTACTCTGAAAACTATAAAACATTGATGAAAGAAACTGAAGATGACACAAAGAAATGGAAAGACATTCCATGTTCATAGATTGGAAGAATAAATGTCTCTACTACCCAAAGCAATCTACCCATTTAATGTAATCCCTATCAGAATACCAAACAAGCATTTTTCACAGAATTAGAACAAACAATCCTAAAATTTGTATGGAACCACAAAAGGCCTGAAGAGCCATAGCAACCTTGAAAAAGAAAAGCAAATCTAGGGGCATCAAAATTCCAGATTTCAAATTATTTTACAAAGCTGTAGTAATCAAAAGAGTATTACTGGAAAAAAAAAGACACATAGACCAATGGAAAAGAACAGAAAACCCAGAAATAAACCCACACCTATATGGTCAATTAATCTATGACAAAGCAGGAAAGAATACCCAATAGTAAAAAGATGGTCTCTTCAACAAATATTGCTGAGAATATTGAACAGCAACATGCAAAAGAAACAGAACCACTTTTCTAATTCATATAGAAAAATAAATTCAAAATGGATGAAAGACCTAAATGTGAGACCTGAAACCATAAAAATCCTAGAAGATAACACAGGCATTAACTTCTCTGACATCAGCCATGGGAACTTTTTTCTACTTATGTCTCCTGAGGTAAGGGAAACAAAAACAAAAATAAACTATTGGGACTGCATCAATACCAAAAGCTTCTGCACAGTGAAGAAAACAATCAACAAAATCAAAAGGCAAACCTACAGAATGGGAGGAGATATTTGCAAATGACATTATCCAATAAAGGGTTAGTATCCTAAATATAAAGAACTTGTACAACTCAACACCCAAACACCAAATAATCCAATTAAAATATGGGCAGAAAACATGAACAGACATTTCTCCACAGAAGATACACAGATGGCCAACAGACACATGCAAAGATGCTCAACATCAGGGAAATGCAAATCAAAACCACCAGGTGATATCACCTTAACACCTGTCAGAATGGCTAAAATCAAAAAACACAAGAGACAAGTCTTGACAGGAATGTGGAGAACAAGGAACCCTCTTGCACTGTTGAGAATGCAAACTGGTACAGCCATTCTGAAAACAGTATGGAGGTCCTCAAAACGTTAAAAATAGAATTACCCCACAATCCAGCAATTGCACTACTGGGTATTTACCCAAAGAATACAAAAACACAAATTCAAAGGGATACATGCACCCGTATATTTATAGCAACATTATTTACAACAGCCAAGATACAGAAGCAGCCAAAGTGTCCACTGATGATGAATAAAGATGTGGTATATATATACAATGGAGTATTATTCAGCCATAAAATAAAATGAAATCACTATTTGCAACAACATGATGGAACTAAAGAGTATAATGCTAAGCAAACTAAGTCAATCAGAGAAAAACATATGCCATATGATTTCACTCCTATGTGGAATTTAAGAAACAAAACAAATGAGCAAAGGAGAAAAAAAGAGAGAGAGAGACATAAACCAAGAAACACACTCTTAACTATAGAGAACAAACTAATGGTTATCAGAGGGGAGGTTGGTAGGGGGATGGCTTAAATAGATGATGGGGCTTAAGGAATGCAATAGTTGTGATGAGCTCTGGGTGATGCAAAGAATTATTGAATCTCTAAATTGCACTCCTGAAACTAATATAACACTGTCGATTAACTAACTGGAATTGAAATAGAAACTTTAAAAAAATTCATAAAGCCAACTAAGGAAGACTACTTTAGTGCTATATTAAGTACTCATTCTCCAATAAAACACTGCATTTCATAAGCACTGTAAGGCCCTGCTTGCCTACGAACTGAGCAATTTGACAATCACACAATCAAAGGAAGGTCAGCCACATAGCAATGAAGAACATTTCCATTAACCCAGGAAGACATTTTGATAAATCCATTTAATCATGCAACTGGAAAGCAATAGATTATAACCAGTAATGTCTCCTATCTGCTCACAATTATGTGGATTACATACTGGGTGACAGTGATTATACTCTGTTAACTAAACTACAAAAATAATGCCCTGACTAGGTACAGAACCATACATATAACTCCTTGTTTAACTTAATCTCATGTAGTGTTGATAACAACTTACTATAAACACAAGGACTGCAAGTACTGTTTGGCTGTGTGTAATGATGTGCAAATTCAACCTCCCATTAATATGTGACCTTAACAGAAAATAAACAGTGACTGAAGAAATGTTTAAATTCTTAACCTAAAATGAACTATTAACAGACTGTCAGGGCGCCTGGGTGGCTCAGTTGGTTAAGCGACTGCCTTCGGCTCAGGTCATGATCCTGGAGTCCCGGGATCGAGTCCCGCATCGGGCTCCCTGCTCAGCAGGGAGTCTGCTTCTCCCTCTGACCCTCTTCCCTCTCATGCTCTCTCTCATTCTCTCTCTCTCAAATAAATAAATAAAATCTTAAAAAAAAAAAAAAACAGACTGTCAAATACAATTACAATAGATTTAACTTTTTTCAGTTCAGTGATTTCTACTTTGGTACAAGCCATGTTTAATTTTTTTGCTACTATCTACCTGTAATGGCATAATTTATAATAAGAAATATACATTTGGTCTTTACTCCCCCTTCCAAGAGCTCCCTAAAACCCTTGGAATTTTCTAAATGATGAGAGTGATACAGGTGGAAGGAGCAAGGGATCTTTTATTATCATAACAAGCCCCTTTCAGCCACACAAGAGTTTGTTCATGAGTTAATGACTTTGAGAAAAAACCCTCAGGATGAGGACTGGTTGCAAGGGAAAGCAAGCAAGTGATTAGAGGGTTAGAACTTTCAGCTACCTGCATTCTCCCTGCCTCCACATTTGTAGGGAGGGCAGAGGGGCTGGAGGTTGAGTTAATTATTAATAGCCAATAATTTAGTCAGTACTGCCTATGTAATAAAGCCTCTATAAAAAACCCTAGATGAAGGGTTTTAAAGAGCTTTCACACTGGTGAACAAGAATGCATCTATGTGTGGTGAGGGTGGCACACCCCAAACTTTAAGCTCCTATGCTCAAGACACTTCCAGATCTTGTCCTATTTATCTGTTCATCTGGTTGTTCATCTATATTCTTTAAAATATGTCTTATAACAAATTGGTAATAGTAAGTAGAGCACTTTTCTGAGTTCTGTGTGTCATTCTAGCAAATTATCAAACCCAAGAAGAGGGTTGTGGGAACCTCAATGTATATCTGCTTGTTCAGAAGCACAGGAGACAACCTAGACTTGAAATAGTATCCAATGTGGGAGCAGTCTTATGGAACTGAGCCCTGAACCTATGGGATTGATGCTATCTACAGGTAGATAGTTTCAGAATTTATTTAAATTATAGAACATCAAGCTGGTATTGAAGAATTGCCACATATTTGGTAGCCAGAAGTGTTCTGTGAGTAGTACAGTAGAGAAAAACAGTAATTTTTTCCTTCTACTATATAATAATAAAAATATCTGATACATGGTAGGAAAAGTTTGAGAATATCCCAAGTTTAGGCACACAGGTCTACACAAAATCACCAAGTAGTATTTAAAAAGAAGTAAATGTGTATAAAAACTGGGAAAATCTAAAAACAACTTAAACATAGTTCTGGAATGATACTGTACTCACAAAAATTATTACTCTATCACTAACATCATGTACCACCTAGCAATAATAATGCCATAATTTAATATTAAAATCATTTAATCATTCTATAAATGTCCCAAGTTTCACTGTGAATAATGAAAAAAGAACAAGAAACTTTATTCTAAAAAGAGATAAAATCTTAATAAAAATGTTGTATCAGTTCTTTTCAAGCTGTATTCTGCAGTGCCTGATGAATTTTCCTCCAAGGTATGCCTTCTTTAGCCATGGGAGAAGCTAGAGTTCCATTTACTCAATCTCTTCCTTTAACACTAGTCCTTCCCCTTCAAACAGAACAGTATCATTTTTGACTATTTTTCCCATAACAGAGTTTTGCTAAAGATTTTCTTTGGAAAAAAAATTCCACCACTAAAATCAAACTATCCAAACCAAATAGTTTGAAATTTTATGTAGTTAATAGTTGTTGGTAAGTTAAAGCTTCAGCAAGATTTTTATTTTATTTCATTTTGATATTTATATACAGCTTAAAGCAACTTAACAATCAAGCTTTTCATTTCAGATTCTCAGGAAAAGTAAACACCTTACCCAGCATGACTAGATGATGAAGGTGGCGGCAAGTCTGGTGTAAGGACATAAAGACTGTTGTTTTTTGGCAAATGTAGCGATTTTAAGACCGTCTGAAAAAGAAAAATTAAAAACAAACAAAAAAATGACTGTTGATTGTACATTATTTTTTCCCTAAAGTTTTTAAAATTTTTTCAATATTGTAATTTTTTGAAACTTTTGACAATTTCCTAAACAGGATAATGCAGAACTATTGAAACCAAGTACCTTGTTTCTCCTATATATATATATATATATATATATATATATAAGCATAAATATGAACATTAAAAATAAAATACAAAATCTTTAGCTCATGATGAGATACAATAGATAAGAACACAGTTAAGAGTCATTAATTTCTTCGTTGAAGAAGTATATCCTTGAAACTAATAAGCACTTTGTTCCAGGATCATTATAGCAAAAATTAGCACTGTAGGTTTTTAGAGATCAAAGACTTAGAAAAGATCATAGTGAGCACCTTAACGCAATGACTTTATAGATGAGGAGCTGCAGCCTGAGAAGTAAGGTGACTTGGATGAGACCTCTAGTAAGTGTTACCTAGGTCACTTAACTCTTTCTCCAGAGAATTTTTATGTTAAAATGATCCATCCAGGGTGAATAAACTACTCTTGGGATACATCTGAACTACATCTTGAGAACCATACAAAGGTTCACTAAATTTTTCCTAACTTGACGGTAAATACTAACATAGCTCAAACCCGTTTTTGTTTTTTTTTTAAAGTAGGCTCCATGCTGGGCGTGGAGCCCAATCTCAGAACCCTGAGATCAAGAATCAAACAGTTAACTGACTCTGTCTCCTAGGCACCCCTCAAACTTTTTTTTGACAGCAAAATGCATTAAGAAACACATTTTATATCTTTATATCATAACTCAGGACATACATACTTATTCGACAGATATTTATTGAGCCACCTACTCTGTGCCAGAACTATTCCAAACACTGAGGATAAAGTGGTGAACAGCACAGTCTAAATCCCCTGATCTCTCATATAGAGCTTTACATTTTAGTAGGAATAAATAAAGTAAGTAACCTATGCAGCTGAATATTAAAAAGTGATTAATTTTTTGGACTACAGATAGATCAGAGAAGGGGGGTGAAAAATATGGGGGTGGGAAGTTATGTAATTTTAAACTGGATGATCAGGGTGGAGCTTACTTGGAATATGTGACATTTGAGCAAAAACTTAAAGGGGTGATAAAACAAATCATGAGAAAATACAGAAAAAGAATATATCAGGCAAAGAAAACAGCACAAAATGCTTAAGGAACAACAAGAAGTCCAATGTAACTGAAGTCAAATGAACACTAGTAGAGATAGGTCAGAGAGAGAACAGTCACGGTAGGGACAAGAAATGTATTGAGCTATGGGCTTTGACTTTTACTCCTAATGAAAAGGTAAACTACTGGAGTGACACGATCAGATTCACATTTAGAAAGAATCACTGTCAGCTATGTTGAAAACAGATGGGAAGGGCTTGGCAGAGGAGGGTAGAAGCACACAGAAGGCTAATGGAATATACTAAGATAAGGGTGATAATGGCTTATGTCGTGTGATGGCAGTAGAAGTGATGCAAAATAGCTATATTCTGGATATATTTTGAAGACAGTGCCAAAAAATTTCTTGACACATTGAATATGTGTTATGACAGAAAAGGAGTCGGTAATGAGCCTAAAGATTTTAGACTGAATAACTGGAAGGATGAAGTTACTATCAATTGAAATGGGAAAGAATGAAGATGAGGACTTCTATTTTGGGCAGATAAGTTTGAAATGTGTATTAGGCATTTAAGTGGAAAAGATAAGCAGCTGGATATATCAATCTGGAATTCAGGGAACAGATCTGGGGTGGAGATATAAATTAAACATATAAAACTGACTATGCACATAGATGTACTTAAAAATCATTACACCGGATAAGATCATCACTGAATTTAGTTATGTGGTCACTTCACTGGTATTTTGACAAGAGCACTAGCAATTCTCTGCCTAGACTGGGCTCAGGAGGCATTGGGAGAAATATAGACAAGAAATATAAACAAGTCTTTGGGGGAAGTTTTGTTATCAAGGGGACTAGAGGAATGGAGCGAATGCTGGAAGGAGAAGTGGGATCAAGAGAAAAATGCAAGAAAGAACATCATGTTTGTGGTTACACTCTATTAGAGGGAATGACCTACTAGAGAAAAATACTGATGATACAGGAAACACACGGAAGAATTAAGAGTGAAGTCCTTGAATAGGCCAGAGAAGACAAAGAATGTAAACTAAAGCAAATATGGAGGTGTGGTCTTTGAAAGGAGAATGGACAGGCCATCTAGAGTAACAAAAGAAGAGTATGTGTATAAGATGCAGGTAAGTAAAGAGAGAACAAGCTGGGAGCTTATAGAAATTTTCTTGTATTGCCTTTATTTTGTGACTGAAACAAAATAGGAAGTCAAGTTATCAGCTGAAAGTGAGAATAAGGGAGAAGTGCTTTAAAGGTCTGAGGAGAGGATAAGTATAAAATAACCATTTAGGATGTGGATAAACCAGGTAAATATACTGTGATTGCCTAGCAACATTAAGGGACTCTCTAAAGATCATGATCATGAATTTAATGATACACCAATGATTTTATTTGTCTGCAGCCACATTTAGCTGTAATGCACAGAATAGATGGAGTTGGATTTATTGAAAATAAGGACTTTTGTCATGCAGGATCCATAAAGAAAGAGTTGAGACTCTACGCAAGAAAGTGATTATGATTAATTGTGGGATTTAATCCACTCTAAGGAAGGGAGGACATGAAGGAGGTAATGATCACAAACAGATGGTAGAAACAATGGACTGGAGGCCTAAATAGTGTTGAAGGATTGCTGGAGTTAAGATACCAAAGAAAATGAGCTAGAAAGTAAAAGAGATAGTAAGCAGAAAATGGAAGCCTAAAATTAAGATTTGAAAATTATAATTAAATGATAGGACCACTGGAAGATATAGCTGATGCAGGATGGAGGAAAAGATTTCTGTAGGAAAGAAATTCAAGAAACTAAGAGGCCAGGGTATTGGAAGAACCACTTATAAAGATAGTTAAATTACTAAGAATTAAGGGGGGCAATTATAGACCAGAACCTAAAAATCATCAGGAAATGAGGGGAGATGACCTCAATGAATAGGTGATGACCTTTTAACATGAAATTCAAAGCTGAAGATTTTAAGAGAGGAAGGACTGATAAAGATCTGGAAGTGGAAGTGAGGTACAATAAGGACACATATTTTACCAGATAATCCAGTGGTATGATGGCTGCTAAAGAAAAGCAATTAACACTGGGAAGGCTAAAGAGAAAAAATGTCCTCAGGAAGGCAGGTTTCAGTCAGAGGAAGATGGTGAAAGGAATGTGCAGGGAAGAGGTTGACAACAGAGGGAATCTGACTAGTGATAAAATTAGTTCCACAGGGAATAGCAAACAGGTTTCAGGTATTGTAAACAAAAAAGAATAGAGACAGATAATGGCCTATGCAGAAACTATGGAAATTTGAGTGAGGGGTGATATGAGAATCTTAAGACTCCTTGCAGTGACTGGCATAAACAGTGGGAAAAGATGTAATAAAATTAGTCCTGGTTTAATCAAACAATAATGTTAAGGCTGAAAGTGTTGGAAAGCAAGTGGAGTGAATGTCTAGGAATCTCTCTTAACCCTGCAGATGGAAGTAGAGACAGGAGGCTGATCTTACCCAAACATAAAACATGAGGAACTCATTCTTGATCCCTCCACAAGAAGGTCCATCTTACTAAGCACACAGTCTTACTCCATGAACATTGGGACTTCGTTTGACTAATATTAGCTATATGTTAAGTAAAAATAACCTTACTACTTGCAATGTACTCTAACATCTTCTATTCTATTTCTTTTTTTTAATGCTGACTATAACCCACTCAATTCACTTCACAACCCATTAATGGTTTGTAACCCATGATCTGCAAAAACACTGCAGTAGGCAGTTACTTGTAACTTCACCTTTAAGTTCCAAATCTTTATATCAAATATTTGTAAGTCCTCTTGGAAGTGATCTGTGTTACTTCTCTAGAGTTAACATGCAAACAAAACACACGCATATATACATAGGAAAATTATTTTTTACCTTTCTATCTTTCATTATTTTAACTGTTGGAATACTGATAAATGTTTACTCTTACCACTTGATCAAGTCACTACTGTCCTTTTGCCACACCACCATCCAAAGTTTTTCCACTAAATCTTCACCCCAAATCACATATGGAATGATTATATAAATGGATACTTTCTTTAAGTCATTTATTTATTCATTCATTCCACAAACATTTACTCATGGGACTATGATAGAAATTGCTGGGATGGGAACCTAATTTTATACAGAGGCCTGTTAGAGAAAGTAATGTTTAAACTGAGACCTGAAGGATAAAATAGAGCCACCCATGTGAAGAACTGGGGGCAAAACATTCCAAGCAGTTGAAGGTACAGGTAAAGATATAAAGTGAGTGGGTCTATTAGAAGAATTAAAAGGGGGTTTCTATGGCTGCATCACGGAAAGTGAGGGTACAAAAGGCTGAAGATGAGGTTGCAGAGGTGAGCAGTACATAAATAATACAATGCCTTTTGAACCATGGTGAATAGCCTGAATTTTATTCAAAGTGCAGTAAAAAACTGTCTTAACAGGAGAGTGATATAATTCAATTTATGTTCTTAAAAGATCATTCTGGCTGCTGTGTGGAGAATGTAAGAAAGAACCCAGGAAAGGAAGCTGGAAAAACAATGATGAAGCTATTACACTGGTCCAGGCAAAAGATGCTAATGGCCTAGATTAGGCAGCACGATAAAAATGCTGAAAAGTGACCATAGTTCAAATATATTTTGGAGACAGAAGCTATAGGACTTACCAAAGGATTAGGTGTTGTTTGAAATGGGAAAAGACTGGATGCCCATATTTTTGGATTCAGCAGTGGCTATATAGTGCTGCTGTTTATTGGGGGGAAACTGGTAGAGAAATGGTATGGAAAGGAAAACCAAGAGCTCCATTTTAAACATGCTACCTTTAAGATGTCATAAGGTATGCAAGTACAAAAGTGAACTACCAATTTGGATACATGAATTCACAGAAGTATAACCTGGAAATATAAATTTGGGAGCAATCAGAAAATTAATGGCATAGGAATAGCAGAAATCACCTTAGGAAAAGAGTACACAGAAATAAGTAACTGAAAATATTGTTGGTGACAAAACTATGTTCAAATATTAGAACAGACAGCTTTAAGAAAATTTTCAAAATAATTGCCTTTCTCTTCACAAACTATTGAAAATGCCATGTGCAAATGATTCATATCCATAGATTTCTCAATAAATGAATAAATAAATGATACAGCTATATAAACAAATGCATTTTAGTGTTTTATTTCTGCCGAGATTGTTGATTTACTCAGATAGCATTTCTTTTTATTTTTTAACCTACGTTTCAATTACAACAGCCATGTAGCACAAGGTGTCAGCAAACTATGCCTATGGGACAAATCTATCCCACTGCCTATTTTTATATGGCCCATGAAGTTAAGGATGATTTTTACATCTTTTAAATGGTGGGGGAAAAAATCAAAAGAATATTTCATGATACGTGAAATTACATAAAATTCAAATTTTTGTGTCCATAAATAAAGACGTATTGGAAAACAGTCATGGCTCACTCTTTCACATATGGCCTATGGTTCCTTTCACATTACAACAGCAGAACTGAGTAGCTACAATGGAGACTGTATTGCCCACAAAGCCTAAAATATTTATAACCTGGTTCTGTATAGAAAGTCTGCTGACCCCTAAAATAGTACATCACTAACTTGTACCTAAATTTATAAATATCTTGCAATGTGAAATTCACATAAATACCTTATTGAAATACTCCAAACATCTCCATATACCAAATGAACTCACATATATTTATAAGCACAATGTCTACCAAAAGTCACTGACAAAGAACTGAACAAAAAGTTGAAGATTCTAAGTTTATGCCTAGATATTGAAATATCAAGTTAGTAACTATGAAAAGATTTGATAATTATTTGCACTTCAAACACCTAAAACTTTAGCATTAATTCATTTCTTTCCTTCCCTCCCCACTTTCTCTATCAGACAAAGAAACAGAATGTGAAATATTTAATACCTGAGGCTGCTACTGGGTCCTTGAGAACAGCAACTACCGCCTTAAAATTGCAACACTTTATAAAAATTCTTAAAGTACAATTCATTCCATGTACTTGCCACTACCCAAGTAAACAAAGATTCTTACCATTTCCAAGTTTAAAAAAATGCCTTATTATTATCTTTGTTCCATTATCAAGATTGGCATACATGTATACATTGTGTATGACTTCTTTCAGGCCAATTAAGTAAATGTTCAGCAAATTATTATTCCAGGGCACTTACTGACACCCTATGAGGTTTGATTAAAAAAGTAAAAGCTCTCAAAAAAGAGTACCAAACTAACTCCTATATAACAGATAGAAACAGGAAAAACATGCCATATAGTGTTCTCATTTACATACCTAATTCATTCAAAACTATTGTTGGTTTACCATGAAAATGTTTTAACTTGAAAAACACTGTTGGCTGATTCCTTAAACTAAGTTACTATTACCAAAATCTACTTCTGTCATATGTAACAAAACTAATAAAAACCAATTTTTATATATCATTTAGTCAATTGCATGACTTAACTTTCTTTTATTTCTAGGCAATTAAGAAACTCACACTGTCTTCCACATCTCCGGTCTTCCAGCCTTTCAACAGCATTTTAGACACAGGTATCTGAAGTTCATTTTCTAGAATCTGTTTAATCTCTCCTGTATAAATAAGAAAAGACTGAATATTACTAACAAAATAATGCAATCAACATTTGTCCATATCTAGGGCTACCAATATTAGGCATATGGTACACAGTCAATGACATTTGTCTGATGAATAAGAAAATTTCCATATTCCAAACTTCAAATCTTAAACAAATGTTGCCCCTTTGAAGAACTCAGGCTTCAAGATTAATTATGACAAAAGACTCTACAATTAATTAACTAGTTAATTAATTGCATAGCTTTTTAAAAGAAATAGATACCAGTGATTGGGGCTTTGATTAGAAACAACCTATTTTAAACCAATCAACTGACAATACCACTATGTGCTCAGCATGTGGTAGGAATAGCAGGTAAAGTATAAAATGAAGGGGTATAGTATAAGCAAAGCAGATTTTAGAATGAAGATTTGGGTCCTGAAGAAATTGAATATCTATTCTTAGTTTTTGTATCATAAAATGGAGAATAATATTGCCTTTCTTAACTATTTCTAGGGTCTAAGGATAAAAGGAAATAACACCCATGAAAGCAGCTGAAAAATAAAGCCAATGTATATAATCTAGAAGACAATTTAAATTATGTTAAAGAGAAAAGCAACAGAATTTCAAAAAGAAAAAAAATGTATTGGATAAGTAGAGAAGGCTTTATGAGAGAGA